ACAGAGTTCACTCTACGGAACCAACATTGATTTACTCTGGGCATCTCATTCCCAGCACCCACATGGTAGCTCACAACCATCTGTAATGAGATCTGCCTCCCTCTTCTGGCCTGAAGGGATACATGCAAGCAGAACACTGTACACATAATAAAGAAATAAATCTTAAAAATAGGGCTGGAGAGATGGCTCAGCAGTTAAGAGCACTGGCTCTTCTTCCAAAGGTTCTGAGTTCAATTCCCAGCAACCACATGGTGGCTCACAACCATCTATAATGCGGTCTGGTTCCCTCTTCTGACATGCAGGCATACATGCAGCTGTATATATAATGAATAAATAAATTAAAAATAAATAAATAAATAAAAGATTTCAGGTGATGTAGCTGGGGGTGGAATGGGATAGAGGTGGGGGTGACGGTGGTGGTGGTGGGGCACGTCTTTAATCCCAGCACTTGGGAGGCAGAGGCAGGCAGATCTCTTAGTTCCAAGACAGCCAGGGCTACAGAATAAACCCTGTCTTGAAAAAAAACAACAAAACAAAAGAAGCCTCAAAACAGCAACAAAAACAAAATAAGCTCTGTGAGTTTGAGGCAGGCCTGGTCTACATAGCCAGTTCCAGGACAGACAGGGTTATACACAGAGACCCGATCTCGAAGAAAATTTCAAAAGTTAGAGGCTAGCGGTACAGCTCAGGGGTTAAGAATACTTGTGTGCAGCCATGAGGACTTGAGTTCAGATCCCAGCTTGTTACAGTCCAACAGTCTGGGCACAAGGCTTGCCCTCCACCAGCCTAGCTGACGAAGTCGGCTTCCAGGTTCAAGGAGAGTCTGCCTCAAAGGGATAAGACAGAAAGCAATGGAAGAGGCTTCCTGATGGCTCCATCTGGTAGGAAACGTACACACTCATAAAAATATATTCAAGATCATGCACCAGCCAGGTGTAGTGCTCATGTCTCTCACTTCAGTGCTGAGGGCTGAGGAGGAGGAGAAGCACAACTTCAAGGGCCTGAACTGAGCTACACAGGGAGTTTGAGACCAGGCTCCTGGGCTATGCACAGAGAACTCATACACATAAAAAGTAGATAACTCCATAAAGTGAAAATAAAGAAATGTCACCATATCTCGCAACTTCTTGGACATAAACTTTTATATGTCTTCCAAGAATTTCTAAATGTCCAAGGGTGAACACATTGTCTCTCTACCAGTGTTCACTTTCTTTATTACCAGCCATTTTGAACTTTTATTCATCCACTTTACTTAACTCTTGAAAATCTATAAATATGTCAAATAGTCCTCCTCTTTTTACAGGGTCTTAATCTGCAGCCCAGGCTGGCCTCAAAATCCTCATGCCTTAGCCTCTTAAATAGAAAACAGGAAGATTACAGGCATGCCCCACCATATTCAGCTAAATCATTATCTTTTTTTTTTTTTTTTAATGTTTTTGGGGCTGGGAAGACGGCTCAAAGGATAAGGCGCAAGCAGGGGTACTGGAGTTCTGACTCCCAGGATACACACAGATGCCAGATGGCAATGTGACCCATCGTGATTCAAGTTCCTGGAGGACCAAGATGGAGTTCAAGGAGCAACCTGGCTAGCTAGATTGGCCATATTGATAAACTCTGGGGTCAACTGAGAGACCCTGCCTCAGTGAGTACGGTGGAAAGTAACAAAGAAAGACTCCTAATATCAACCTGGGCCTTTTAGGCTCACACATACGCTCACACACAAAAGCCTCCACACATTTGAACATGCATGCATGCATACATACACACACACCCACCACACAGACACATGCAAAATAAATAAACGTGTCTTGTGGCTCAGTTCTGTTCCAGATTCCCACTTCAGACTTGTCAGACAGACAGTTCATCATCATGGTTTATGGAATCATGTCTCTGAAATTCTTAAGCTTGCTTCTCTTAACCATTTTTAACCTAATATTAAACACAGAAGACTTCAACAAGTACTTCTTCACTCACAAAATCAGTCAATCAATCCTCTCTTTATCGTCCATACGAGCTGAACTCACCCTGGAGGACCTTTCACCCCTTTAAATGTATGCCTGTGCACCACAGAGGCCAGAAGAGGACATCAGATGCTCCGGCATCAGAGTTACAGACAGTTGTGAGCCCCTGTGCGTGCTGGGAATTGAACACTGGACCTCTGAAAGAGCAGCTGGTGCCCTTAACCGATGAGCCATCTCTCCAGTCCCAGAAGGACCAACTTTAACAGTTGAGCATCTGAATTAGATGAGATGTTCACTTTAACCTATTATCATCCCATTTTAGAACTTAAAGACTAAAACCCGTCAGCCAAAGCTCAGCTCTCCATTATTAGAAAACGTACGCACAATCTCCCATTCACCATATACTTTAAGAAGTAGGGGACCAGCGAGATGACCCAATGGGTGGAAGCATTCCCCACCAAGCCTGACTCCCAGGGCCCACTTGGTGGAGGTAGAGAGCTGTCTCCAGAATGTTGTCCTTTGACCTCCACACCTGAGCCTTGCATGCCGACCCACTCACTCAGAGGGGTTTGGGGGAAAAAGGTGAAAAACATTTTTTGAGGAAATTGAAGGTCAGGCATGGTGGTTCATGGTATAATACAGCACTCAAGAGGCTAAGGCAGGAGGATTGCTGAAGAACTTCAGGGCAGGTTTTTCTACTAGTGAATGTAAGTGAAGCCTGGGCCATAGAGAACCTGCCTTAAACAAACAAGAGGAGGCAGAGCTAAGCCACACTTCCTTTCAGCGTCTTAAAGCCGCCGTGCTTTGTTTGGTCTGCAATTGTGAGACCAGCTCATTCTGGAGCCCAGGCTAGCCTTGAACCGTGATCGCCAGTGTTGAGGTTAAAGGCACGAACCACCGGGGCCCCTGCACCCCGGTTAGCGAAGACTTGTAGTGACTATCAAACTCCCCGGCTCGGTGTGCATCTTCTAGGATGCTGTGGCACTCAAGGCCCCGGCCCGCCGTGGGACCCGCGCCCCGGCCCGCCGTGGGACCCCGGCCCGCCGTGGAACCCGAGCCCCGGCCCACCGTGGGAGCCGAGCCCCGGGCCCGCCGTGGGACCCCGGCCCGCCGGGGGAGCCGAGCCCCGGGCCCGCCGTGGGAGCCGAGCCCCGGGCCCGCCGTGGGACCCCGGCCCGCCGTGGGAGCCGAGCCCCGGGCCCGCCGTGGGACCCCGGCCCGCCGGGGGAGCCTTGCCTGGCGCGGGCCGCACGGGGCTGCTGCTGCTGCTGCTCCTGTCGGCCGCGGCGCCTTCCGTGCTGGGCCGGGACGTGGAGGCCGGGGCCGAGAGATGTCCGCGCGGGGTCCCGCGTGGGGAGCTCGAGGCTGAGGAGGCCGCCTGCCTCAGCATCCCTCAGGCCTCTGCGACACGCGAGGATCTGCGCGCGGCTTCGAGCACCGCAAGGTCACGCCGCCGAAAGGCGGGAGAACAGGCGCAGGCGCAGTGCGCTCGCGGCGCAGGCAAGGAGCCGCGCACAGCGCAGGCGCGGGCCCGGGCCGTTGTCCCCTTTGCCTGGCCTGTCCCAGCACGTTATTCAGAAGCACAGGTCAGCCTCCACAATTCAAGGCCCACCAATCACCAACAACCTGGGGTATCAACTGTCACAACAGTTCTTTCTCTTATTACGAAATTTATGTTTTTAATAATTTTCACACTAGCCAAGCACTTGGAGGGGACCTTGTGAGGACTGAACCCAGGGTCTTGCATAATAAACGCATGCCTCAGTTACATCCCCAATACACTTACCCCTGAGTTTTAGTTCATCACCCTGTGCCTAGTACCCAGTGTCTAAGAATGAAGGTGTATTGTACACATGGCACAGTAACACCCGTGAGGTCACACGGACAGTTACAGCCAGCAGTTACAGAGTAGGGGGAAAAAAGTTTCAACTACAGCTTTGCACTTAACCTTTGGAAAACTCTTTACAGTCCTTAAATATAGCAACTTCCAGGTGGCAGCACTGAGGAAAAATGCTCTCCAGTTAACAGGACATATGTAGTGTAGCGGTTTCAGTAAGAATCCCCACCCCCCAACGCTGCCCCCTCCACACACACACACACATCATCTTATATTTGAATTCTTAGGAAGCAGCACCGCTTGTTGAGTAGGTATGGCCTTGGAGGAAGTGTTACTGGGGGGTGGGCTTTGAGGTTTCAAATGCTCACGCCAATTTCTCCCTCTTGCAATCCAGATGTTAGAACTCAGCTACTTCTCCAGCAACATCTGCCTGCAGGCCACCATGGACTAAACCTCTGAAAACCAGGCTTCACAGCAATAGAAAAGAGACATGTAGAGTATACCAGGTGTGTAGCCTCATGGTCTGTGACTGAAATACTTAAGCAACTCTTCTTGGGACATTGGAAGACACCTGGACACTAACCTGTCTATCAGGTGTGCACATTTGACAGGCTACTTGCTGGGAATGCAAGTGGATCCCCAGAACTCTAGCACTTGGTTGGGGATGATGTGGAGGCCTAGCACCAAGTGGGACTATCTCAGAAAGGGGAGAGGATTCGTTTGTTTCCTTCCTTTTGTGTGTCAAGGGGCAGAGGTTCAACCCAGAAGTAAATATATACTAAGTCCAAATTTATACCAACAGTTCACCCAATCTGTGACCAATCCACACCAATCCACCAATCAATTCAAAACTCAATATAATGTCAAATGTCCAGTGTTTCCCAAGATTTAACTCATTAGACAGGGGCTCATCAGACCCAAGAAACAATTCCACCTAAACCCATGAAGCAAACCAACTCATTAAGAATGATTGGGGGGGGGGGGGGGGGCAAAAAACAAAAAACTTTTTGGGCTGTGGGTAACTCAGCTGCATGCCTACAAGATCCAAACCAACAGTGGAGCCTGGAGTTTCCTGAAAAATTTGCCTACAGCCCCACGCATGCATCCTCCTTACCAGTTGTTTATGATTTATAGCCTTGTAAATAATCTCCACAAAGGGAATGTTTCCTAAAGAAATAGCTACATACACAACAGCCACTCAATTAATTTGTTCATCTTTTATTTAAATCTTGAGTTTTACTCTATCAGTTAACAAAAATCATTTGCCATCACAATTGTCACAGGTCAACAGGACACGGAGGCACCAATTAAATACTAGCTCTTTCATTTGCTGTTATGGAGATATCAGAAACATTCTAAATACATGTTTACTTTACAATACATATAATTATATAATTTATCATTAGCATGAGATATACAAAATATTAACAGTCACTTCTAGGTTTGATAAACACTTCAACTATCTGTGACTCTAGCTCACTAGTTCAGGCTGGACATTCACCCTCTGAAGCACCTCTTCAGGCATGCAAAAGACAGGACTAACAGGTTTAATCTGTTCTTCTCCCAGGAGTGACAATCCAGCAATGCCAAATAAGGTATGAAAAGGATCCACCTGTGGGAAGTGTATAAACAGTTAAGACATAAAAACTCAATAATCGACCCACAGAATGAAGTTTATTCAATTTCTGTATATAGCTTTAACAAGTTTTCTGAAAGACTCCAGTGCTTTTAACATGCAGGACCTCACCAACAGTATTTCTATAAGCTCCAGCCTCAGACTCTCAAAGCAGCCTTTAGAACTATTTCTACAGCCCAAACAAAGGCCCAGAACCATAAATCAACCAACAGTGAAAAACTGCAAAACCACAGAATTGTACTTGCCATATCTCCTGGCCTGTCTGCAAAGCCTCCTGTCTCTTCATCTTGACATGCTAAGATGAAGCTGCGCAGCTTTTCTCTGTCAATCCAGTGAAGTCTCCCAATTATCTTTAGGGAGGCCAAAACCCACCAGGAATAGCACACATCCGGTAACTAGAAGGGGGGCGGGAGGAACTAGTCAGACTGTTGGCACTTTTACCGCTCTACTTCCTTAGAAATTATTTTATGTCTAATCCCATGCTCCAACAGTAGGAAGTGAACAAGGGTCAGGAATGGTGGACAGAACTAAGGACCCTGAAGCAGCACAACTGCTACATTTTAGGCATGTACAAGATGGTAACAATGAAAACCCAGAAACGATCACTGGGCAAGTTGAGACTACTTCCTACATATTGGCACTCACACTTCAGGACTAGGTGGCAAACAGACATTGATTTAACTTAAAATATCCTACTCAAGTTTTCAGCTGAGGTCATTAGTATAGATTCATGAAACCACGAGACAAGATTTTCTAGGCAGACCATTTTCAACTAGTGCTGTCCAGGTAGACACATATCTGCTGAGAATTAACCCCGCAGATCCTTCAGCCTGCATTTTACTGAGCTCCAAGAATGACTAATAGGCACGTTAAGATAGCCTGGTTTGTCTCCGCCAAAGTTCAATTACTAGTATAAACTGAGGCCTTGCTTAGATACTACCTGTGGGTACACCTCCCTGCCCATCACTCCCACAAGCACAGGAAACTAGCACATACAGCTTCTCTCTGCCCCTCACACATAGTAAGCTCCACTTGCTACAGGTTAACTAACTATAAAGTAAGTCCTGTTAATAAATGCAAATGCCAGTTTACTTTCATTGGAAGTATTTAATTGTCTATATGTGCCAGCATTTTCTGTAGGCAAACAAATTACATGGCTTCAAGATGAAATGTTCTGCAAAAATTGTCATTTACTCAGATTTCAGTGTCTGCAGCAGCTTTGGGATGGGATAGCTGACACACTTCATTCAAGTTAATTTTTTTTTTTTTTTTTTTTTTTTTGCTGTGCCTGTATGCTAACTTAATAGCCTACTTACTCTGTGGCTACCATATTACCTGAGCGGCCTAGATTCAATGTTGAGTGTTCACTATGGCCCTTACCACCTTTACTGACAGGGTCTTTCTACATAGCCCCGGCTATCCTGGGTCTCCCTAAGTAGACCAGACTGGCTTCATTCAAACTCATTTACAAATATCTCATGCCTGTGCCTCCCAGGGTCAATGAGAGCCGAGTTCTATTTTCACTATGACCTCTCACTCTCCTTAAGGAGTACTGAAACTACAAAAAAGAAAAGCTCAGTTTTAAGTACACAGCACCACCCACTCAAGGAGCCACTACAGACAATACCTTCTCAGGTCTTCCATTGAGTCCACCTGAGGGCAACTGTCGTTCACAAAGCCACCAACCAAGTAAGTCAGAGTTCACTTGATGCAACTGACTAGTTATCGCCAGGAATCCTGTGCAACAATAGATCTAAAATTACAGACATAAAGTACACAGGTATAATTTAATAGTAAGTTACAAACACTACCAAAATTATTCAAACTCCATCCATCTCGTATCAGTTTACATTAGGACTCAATGTCACAGTGAAATATGCTTGGAATTTCTTTATGGCCAATTAACTTACAACTTACACAATGTTCTCTGGACAAAAATATGTCCTAACTCGGACACACTGGGTCAGGTTAGAATGTTTTCATTGTTATAATTTAAGTCACACATGGAGGTTCATGTCTGCCATCCCAACAGTCTACAACTGACAATTAAAAGTACAAAATGTAGACCCCATATAGATAAGTGCATTATTTACAAGGACTGAAGCTGTGTACACAGCACATCCCCCCAAACCACTTTCCTTATGTAACAAGATATGGCCATTTACAACAATTACTATAAAACATTGTTTGTCTTTTAATTATTGGTTATCTCCTCTAGATTTTAATAGCAAACTTACCTGCCCGGCATGAGATTCAGAGCCCGGTCTGCACCCAAACCCACCATCAAAGTTCATACAGGACAAGACAAATTCAATTGCCTTTTCCACATTAATAGCATCAAGCTTGCCCTACAAAAAGAAATAAAACTTTTTACAAATGCCCAGAGCACTCACAAATGCTTAATCAGGTCCCTCAACACAACACTGAAAGCTTACCAAGAGAGCCAAAGTTGCCACTGCACAAAATGAGAATCTGGTATCAATTTCTCCTAAAAGACAAAAAAGAGCCAAGGCAGTCATGTAAACGCTACAGGTTTCTGAAGAACAAACCGAGAACCATGCCCACTCAATTCCCCAAAGCCCAGGCTAGCTTACGTTTACCTGGAGGCTATCTCCCCCAAAAGCTAAGGAAACCAGCTAGAAAAATAGAAAGCAACAGCCCTTCTAAGTAGCTTAGAGGGGCCCAAAAGGGAAGGAACCTACAAAATGGGAGGACTATTATATGCCAATGAACTCGTTACTGGTATGTTAAAAGGTTCACATCCCACAAAGCAGCTGGTCTCAGGCCTGCATTTTGTTCCACCCCAGAACAAATCATCTACAATAATCAAATGAATTTTTTCTACCTCCCAACTCAGATATTTACTAATTTCATAAACTTTTAAAGACTTCCTCTTTTCAGGGAGTTCAGTCCTTCAGAGCTACCAAATATTGGGGATAAAACTTGAACCTACCTTATCTTTTAGAGTGGTGTGCTGACAAACCAGCACGGCATGCTGGGACTTCCAGCAGGCCATTTATTCCAGTTAGACCAACTGCTTAGTGGGACCTGAAAAGATGGAACAACTTGAAATCTTACGATCACTACCAAGACAGAGATGTTGAGTATGGAGTAGCTGACTAAGACCAGTCTTACCCCACACGTCTCCAGCAAATGAACCGTCTTCTTTCTGTAGGCTCTGAACATACGCCACCACTTTATCTACGTCGATAACATTAATGCTGTCATACAAAGTAAGAATCTGAAAGGCAAGCGAGTATCACAGATTTGTTCTATAAGTCACCAATTAAGCCCCTCCACGTTTACTGTAAACTGCTCAAATGCACAGGCATTTAACCCCGAGTTAAAATTAGTCACTCCAAACCCTTAATCACAATGTTTTACTACATCAACATTGACAATCTGAGAAACTCAAGCTCTGGCTCTTGACTAAAACCAATTTTCTTTCTTTCTTTTCTTTCTTAAAACCAAATTTCTTTCTTTCTTTTCTTTCTTTCTTTCCTTCCTTCCTTTCTTTCTTTCCCGAGACAGGGTTTCTCTGTGTAGCTTTGCACCTTTCCTGGAACTCGCTCTGTAGACCAGGCTGGACTCGAACTCAGAGATCCACCTGCCTCTGCCTCCCGAGTGCTGGGATTAAAGGCGTGCACCACCCCCTACCTCCCCCACCCCCAGCTAAAAACAAATTTCAACTGGAGTCAGTTCCAGTTACATACAGTGAAATTGCCCTCCAAGGTCTCAGTATCACTTGAGAATTTACATCATGTTAGCATTCAGCTAATACATGCCATGACATCACTGACCTTGTAGGAAGGACTTCACACAAAAGGACAGAAGTAACTTTGACAGTAAGATACAGATTTCTTCTGCCTCCCCGTAAATTATAATCCCCAAACCCTAAGGAAACAAAGCATCTACCTGGACAGCACTCAGAGTGTAGAGAAGGTGCGGATCATGTCCAATGCTAGCACTTATTCCCCCACATTCGTGCTGGCATGACTTGATAAACACCAGGACTTCTTCTCTGTTCATCCGATCAAGCTGTCCCATGAGATCCATCACTGTCAAGCCCCAGTAGATGCCGCTCATTCTCAGGTACTCAGACATACAGTATTCCTAGGGATAGAAGTTTCTGAAATTTGAAATCTGAACTCCTAAAAAGGCCATTTCACATATAACCCACCTCAATTTTAAGACAATCGGGACCACCTTTAAATGAGGCTTTAAGAGTCTCCCACGTGCCAACAGCAGGTGAATTAATCAAAAGCAAGCAGCATTCCTACTCTTGTTTACCAGACACCAGTGTGTAACTGATTAACACTGCTGAGGATGGAAACCTCCATGGACCCCAGAACCTTCTGCTGCAGCTATAAAGCATTATTGTACAAGCATTCAGGTAAGGACCTCAGTGCCATCCGGCAAGCCAAGCCCAGCCTAGGGCTTAAAAGGGTAGGTAGACAGTTGACGGGGATCCATAGGACATTTAGGCCTATAACCCCCCTAAAATGAGTGCCTAACTAAAGTTATAGAAATTGCCAAGTATCAAGTGTTTATACTAATACCACATGTTCTGTAAGACCCAGATATACAGCTGCTGTATAGAAAATATTTTTACACAAGCAATTCCTCTTTGGAGAGGGTTTCTCCTCTTAGCATGGGGTTTTCTCCAACTCAATGATCCTGCTCGGCCCCTTGATGCTGACTGAGATCACAGGGGCGTGGTTAAGTTTTCCTGCCAGTATTTCCCAGGTACACTATCATAAGTTTAGGCAAAACCTTTTCAAGGTCTCAGCGTAATTCTAGAGCTAAGGTGTTTATTACACATCAGCATAATTCAGATAATACATGCCAACACATCATTGACCTCAAAGGTTTATACCCCAGCCAGAAAGGCACACACCCTCCTGCCTGCAAATCCTAGCCTACTTCAGAAATGCCTCCTTATGTACTGGTGTCGTGGAGGCCACCAAGTATCAACCTCCAGCATAGAAGGAACACCTATCATACTGGACTTCAAAGGGGAACATGTCAGCCCTCTGCAATTAGGTGGTGCTTAAGAAACAGGCCAAATACTACTGCAGCTGTTAGTCTCAGAAACTTTTCAGCAGAAAATCATACGCACATAATCATCTTTCTTTGAGCCATAGGAGGCAATATAATCGGCATGTTTGTCCAGTAACAGGGTGTCAGGTGCATCTGCCTTGATAGCAACATCCTTCTGCGGTGTGCCCTTGCGGTAAAAAAGCAGAGATTTCATGGTTACTTACTTACACGGTCTGAAAACGTGACATCCCCGATCAAGTATGTAACCGGCATCTTTCAAGTCTCAGAGTAATTCTAGAGCTAAAGTGGTTAATAATCAGCTTTAGATTCAGAATACATGCCAGCTCATCATTGACCTGAAAAGGCCGTCACACTTTGAAGTATGCCTACGAAACACAACGCAGACGCTTGAGGTTTCAGAGCACCTCCTGCAGTCCCCAAATGCTTGGTATCAGCTCCAAGTAGGTCAAACCAATTACCAAAACTTATTTTTTGATTCAGTCTCTGCTGTGAAGCCCTGCTTGATCTGAACTCCCTATGCAGACCAGGCTGGCCTCGAAATCAAGAGATCCGCCTGCTTCTGCCTCCGGTGTGGGCCAAGGCTGGCTCTCTTCCATCCCAGTTAAAACGTATAACTTTGAAACAATATCTTTAGTCATTTTCAAGAATCTGTATGTTCCAAATTATTATTTCCAAAAATAAATTCAAAATTACATCTAACCGGGGGAAAAAAAAAACAGGCACGCCCAAGTCCCCGCTGCAGAGAAAGAAATCAGGCCGCCCAATCGGGGTAGGCTCGCCCAGAGGGAAAGCGGATAAAACGAGCGGCCTCGAGAACTGCGGAAAACGCTGAGCAACCTCCAAGTCTGGCCTCAGGAGCCCGAGGCAGGAGCGTTGCTGGGAGCTCTAGGCCTCAAGCAGAGAGCATCGGCCTCGCAGGCCCGCCCGCCCGCCCGCCTCCGCGTGCTAAGCGAGCCCGCCCGGGCCGCCCCGGCCCCGCGCTCAGCCGCGATCCCGCTCTCACCATGTCCGACGCCGAAAGACAGAAGCGCGCCCGAGCACCGGGAGTCAAGGCCCGCGCGCCTGCGCACACGCGCGCGCCCGCCCGCCCACGCCCGTCACGCTCAGCCCGAAGGACCCCGCGGCCACCATTTAGCCGGTCACACTCCTGCCTGAAGGACTCCGCGGTCACGATGTAGCCGGCCACGCTTCTGCCTGAAGGACCCCGTGGCTAGAATTGTCGCTCAGCTTGCGAAGTGCTTTCCCAGCGTCCTGGGAGCACTGGACTGGGTTTCGGCCGCTGTGTAAACTGGGATTGGTGGTGCAGACCTGTAATCCTAGCACTTGGGAAGTGGAGGCAGGAGGATCAATAGTTCAAGTCCTCAGCTGTGTAGGCATTTGGAGGCCAACCTGGGCCAAATTCCCTGGGGGAAAAAAAGATAAATTATAGTACATCTGTTACCCAGTTATTCAAAAAAAGAAAAAAAAAAGCGCCACATATATTGTTAAGGAAAGATGCTTAAAAGATACTTTGTAAAAATGCATGCTTAGCACGGGCTAGCCCTTGGGTTTGATCCCTGAAACTACAAAAATAAGGCTTACTTATCACTCTGTACTGGTAAGTTAATATGGTTTAACCTTTTCGTTTTAACCTCTTCTTCATTTTTAAGGTCCTGGGAATTGAACTCACAGCTTTGAAAAAGCTAGCATATGATCTGCCACTGATCCATCTCCCCAGCCCAGTTTGCACCTTCAAAGAATAAAATATGCTCCCTCAAAGAACTGTAGAGCAACGATAATAATTTATAAGTTCATCTATCCCTCCAAAGCTGAGATGTCAGATACAGCGAAGTGAGGAATTGAATGTGGCTAGTCTAAACTGGAAAATGCTGTAATTGTAAAATACAAATTGTGTGTGACATGCTGCTCATTTTAAAGTGTGTTGACTGCCTTCTAAATATCTATGTTCTACCCATATACAAAAGCTACTCTAAGCCTTAATCAGATAAGCATTTCTGTGCAGTGAACAATGATGAATGTTGGGGCAGGCACCCAAATAGCTTTCGTTACAGAGACTCTTGACTACCCAAAGTTCTCAGGAGAATATGATGGCTGAGGACTGAGCTCTAACCAAACATTTATACCCCTCTAAACACCATAGAAGAGGGGAGCAGAAAGAATGTAAGAGAAGTTAGGAAGAAGGATGAGATGCCATCTTCTGGGCCTGACAGCCCTGCAGTCTTGAACTCAGAGCAGCTGTGTCTGTCTGCACTGGGCTTGCACACCGCTGGCCCTGCCAACAGTCAGTCATAGGTGAAGGGACTCAGGGCCCTGCTCCTCCCTGCTGACCTATTGGGTGCAGACACACAGTGGGGAAGAGGAAGTCCTTGTCAGTTGTGTGTACACACTGGTAAGCCCACCAGGCATCAGCGAATTGCTCCAAACCCATGGTCACACAACTCTGTGGGCCACAAAAATGACATGAATGTGAGAACCGGGTTGTAAGGAGGAGGGGGAGGCTGATGTGGGGGGGAGGCTGATGTGGGGGGGAGGCTGATGTGGGGGGGAGGGAAGTACGAAAGGACAGAGTGAGCATAGTCAGAACAAATTATATACATGTATGAAATGGTCAAAGAAGCATTGCTGGCTAAGAAAATATTTTGGATATATTGAGTTAAAATATATTTTCAAATTAATTTTATCTATTTTCACTTTTTAAAATGTGACTTAGAAAATTTAAAACAATCTATAGGGTTTGCATTATATTGTTATTGTTCAATGGATGTCTACTTTGTTAGGCCCAGAGATGCACCTGCCACTTTATAAATGATAAAAGCTTCTTGAGCTTGACATGGTCGAAAATGCCTATAATGCCACCACTTGGAAAGCTGAGATAGGAGGATCACAAATTCAATGCTAGCCTGGGCTGCTTGGTCCGTTTGAGGCCAGCTTGGGCTACATAGTGTGGTTCCACCCCAAAAAACAAAGGACAGAAATAATTTTTGTTATTAACAATATTTTTTAAAGATTTATTTTTATTTGGGAATGGAGAGATGGCTCAGAGGTTAAGAGCACTGGCTGCTCTTCCAGAGGTCCTGAGTTCAATTCCCAGCTACCACAGGGTGGCTCACAATGATCCGTAATGAGATCTGGTGCCCTCTCCTGGCATGCAGGCATACATGCAGACAAAACATTATGTACATAATAAATAAATCTTTAAAAAAAGATTTATTTTTATTTAGTATTGGGTTTGCCTACATGGGTTTGCCTACATGTATGTGTGTGCCTGGTGCCTGAAAAGGGCAGAAGAGCATGTAGGGTCCCCAAGATCTGGAATTACACACAGTTGTGAGCTGCCATGTGGTTGCGAGGAACTGAACCCAGCTCCTCTGGTGCTCTTAACCACTGAACCACCTCTCCAGGCCCCGGTAATAACAGTTTTGATCAATGTTCTGCTGTGGGATGGTCATGTGTAAAGGTTAAAACCTTCCTTTTTAAGAAAAGAAAAGGGGAAGTGCTGTGGGATGGTCTGTATGTCAAATGTGTTGCTGATTGGTCAATAAATAAATCACTGATTGGCCCGTGGCCAGGCAGGAAGTATAGGCGGGACAAGGAGGAGAATAGAGCTGGGAAGTGGAAGGCTGAGTCAGAGAGACACTGCCAGCCGCCACGATGAGAAACAGCATGTGAAGATGCCGGTAAGCCATGAGCCATGTGGCAAGGTACAGATTAATGGAAATGGATTAATTTAAGCTGTAAGAACAGGTAGCAAGAAGCCTGCCACGGCCATACAGTTTGTAACCAATATAAGTCTCTGTGTTTACTTGGTTGGGTTTGAGCGGCTGTGGGACTGGCAGGTGAGAGAGATTTGTCCTGACTGTGGGCCAGGCAGGAAAACTCTAGTTACAATGTTCATGTTGTGAACTGCTGGAACTATAAACATAGCTCACTAGCATTTAGTATACAGGCTGTCCCTAGTCAGCCTTAACATGTGACTGTATCATGGAACAGCATTCCTATGGGGCAAGAACACCTCATTTCATCTGTGATGCCATCAGCTGTAAGACACAGTTGAACTGCAAAGATGAGAAATGTAAAGAGTAGCCAGCATCTATTATTTATACAGGCTTCTGGGACGTTACTATGAAAAAGTGTGTTTTTCCAAATCAGTGAAATGCAATAAATATAGAAAGATTCTTGAAGCAGTACATTGAAAATTCTACTCTCGGGGGCTGGGGGTAGATAGCTCAGGAGAAGAACACTTGCTTGGCCTATGTGAGTATTGAGAGCCACTGGTAGCAATAGTCCATGAAAATATACTTGACAACTAGAATTCAGAAGGCCAACCTATCAGAACTAAGGGTTCCGTTAGAGGAAACAATCACGCAAGGCATTATGGAATTACTGCCTTTTGGATGAACTGGCTGTCTCTTGTTGTAAACTTCTTGTGCAATAACAGCTATGATTCTCCCCATTTACCGTGCATTCTCATGTTATGTGTACATGTAATCTCATGATTGCATCTCAATCTTATGGGCACACATAATTGTGGATAGTCTAGAAGATGGTTTCTTATTTAACTGTACAATTTTTTTTCTTTTTTTCGAAGCAGGGTTTCTCTGTGCAGCTTTGCGCCTTTCCTGGAACTCACTTGGTAGCCCAGGCTGGCCTCGAACTCACAGAGATCCGCCTGGCTCTGCCTCCCGAGTGCTGGGATTAAAGGCATGCGCCACCACCGCCCGGCTTAACTGTACAATTTTTATGAATAGAAACATTCTAAAATATGCTTCATACTAGGTCTATTGTTCCATGTGGACTGTAGACACAGAAGTCTTGTTCTTCATCCTTAGCTACTGACAAGGCAAATATTGGCCAGACAAAGTGTCTTCACAGAACTTTCACAGAGCAGAATTGCAGGTGCCTGACCTTGTTGGATCAAAACACCTCAGAAGAATTATGGTGAACCAGAAGTGATAGTGCAGGTGTCTGGCCTTGGTGTATCTTAGTCCTTCAAGAGATCAACAGCACCTATGTTGCCCTAAGCTTCCTCTACTAGCACCTCCCCACTCTGATTCAAATAACAATTAATACTTTGTACTTATTTCTACACTTGTTTTTAATGTAAGATTTTCAGCTCAGTAGACTAATTATGTATAGGTCCTGAGATTCAGGTGACTAACAGAAAAAGGCTGTTAATTGACTATGTCTGGATATTATTAATCACATAAAATAGTACACATATTCTTTGCCTTTTTCTTAAATCTCTCATTGGTTTAATTTCTTCCCTTGTAAACTTTGCAGCTATTCCTTTAAGAGATAGTCAGAACTTTTTACAACCTGCAGCTGTTGTCAGTCACCAATTAAGCTGACCAGGTCTTTGCCAAGTGTGACTCTTATCAGAATACTTGTCCCTGAGAGTTTACTTTGTAGTTTTTACTAACAAGTTGTTAATGAATGGACACACACACACACACACACACACACATATGCTTGGGGGAACAAAGAAGAGGAAGATGGGAAGAACTAGATAGTTATGAGAGAACAGCAGAACAGACTGAGAGCAGGAGGGACTGAGAGGAGCTAAGTATGAGAACAGAAAAGAAACTGTGTAGATAGAATGGATTTAGAAGAATGACGTGAGTGGACTAAAGAATTCAGTGTGCTTAGATTCATTGGATATCCCTCAGATTAGAATCCTCAGCTGGTTGGTAGACTCTCCCATGGACTCGGGGAGAAAACAATAGAGGCTGGGCCTTTTATTGTTTTCAGTACGTGAGACCCTGAGTACAATTTCCAGCACTTAAAGGAAAAAGGCACTGGCTAGATATTTCACGATTTCTGATTTCTTTACCCTGTCGTTTTTCATTCATTTTCAGTGGAGGGAAATTGTGAAGGCTAATCTAGTTTGTCAGTTTTAATCAACTAAGAGAGAGTCCTGGTCACGCCTGGGAGAGGTTTTCTTACTTGGGTTATTAGAAGTGGAAAGGCCCACACTAAGTGTGGGAGGTACCTTCCAGGGGTAACCCAGCTTCAGGGGACTACGGAAAGAGCCTTGCTTTTCGCTCCATTGCCTTCTCATCTGACTGTCGGGTTTATGTTGCAGCCACTGCTTCGCTGCCACAGTCCTTCGCTGACAGCAGAACCCAGCTTCTTCAAGCTTCTAACATGGAGTGAAGACCACCAGAACTGCAGGAGGCCAGCACCACGTTGTGATCTCTTCACACTGAAGAAGCCAGTGTTGGACTACCGGATGACATCCTGAAAATCAATCTAATAAATACTTTTACTGTGTATCCATTCTATATGTTCCTCTAAAGAACCCTCATTAATATAAAAATATTTTTGTGTATGTGTACATTGTATGTGGATGTATGCATTGTGAAGGCCAAGGATCAATGTTGGGTGTCTTCTTCAATTTCTCCACCTTATTTTTTGTGACAGAGTCTCTCACTAAACCTAGACCTCATAGATTTGACTAGACTGGATGTCAACAAGCCCAGGGACATACCTGGCTCTCCCTCCCCAGCCCTGGGATTATAGGCACACACAGCCAAACCTTACGTTTCCATGGGAACGAAGGATGCACTTGGGTCCTCAAGGCTATGCAGCAAATGCTTTATAAACTGAGCCATCTCCCCAGCCCATGAAGTCTTTCTCCAGCATTTGTTTGTTTTGTGGTGTGTATGTGCACATGTGCATGCCATAGTGCACTCACGGAGGTCATAGAACAACCTGAATGAGTCTCTTCTCTCCTAGCACTTGGGATCCAGGTATTGAACTCAGGATTCAGGCATGGTGACAAGTGCCTTACCCATGGATCCATCTCACCAGCCTATGAGTGGAATCTGATCTAGTGCAGAACTCCATGCTTTAGTAGAACCAGAAATGACAAGAGCTCTCTAGGTCAGATGCAGTTATAAAAGTAGAATTCTAACTCCATTAATACTTTTTTTTTTCTCAAGACAGGGTTTCTTTGTGTAGCCTTGGCTGTCCTGGACCTTACTCTGTAGACCAACCAGGCTGGCCTCAAACTCACAGAGATCCACCCACCTTTGTGTCCCAAGTGCTGAGATTAAAGCTATGGGCACCACCACCACCTGGCTTCCATTAATACTTTTAAAGATGAATTTAGGAATAGAAAGATATTTTAAAAGTATAGTTCTGTCCCAGTGCTTGGAAGGTATGGGTAGGAAGATAGGGTTCAGGGTTATCCTGGACTACACAGCAAATTGGAGGTAATGTCCTACATGAGACATTGCCTCAAAAAATGAAAATAAAAGTCTGTCCTTTATGAGTAATGAAAAAGACTTTGGAAATTAGCTGGCTTATTTAGAGTATTTTATTTTTAGATTTTATTAATTTTTTTCTCTGTGTGTATCAGTGTTTGCCTGAATGTACATCGGTACCCACAGAGACCAGAAGAGGGTGTTGGTTCCCCTGGGACTGGAGTCATAAATAACTGTGAACCACCATGTTGGTGCTAGGAATTAGGAATTAAACCCAGGTTCTCTGGAAGAGCAGCCAGTGCTCTTAACTGCTGAATTATCTCTCCTACAAATAATTTTTGACTTATTCATTTTGTGGTTATATGTATCATGTTTTTGAAAATGATATGTGATCAATCTGGGAGGGCATGTACTTTGCTACCCTAGACAGACTCACCATCAAGGGCACTGCTGCAGATCAGTACCAAGAAGCCTACCTAGGCCAACTGTTGTCCTTTCCTGGCTTTCTGGAAGAGCTTCAAAAGGCAAGGACCCTTCCCCTCACCACTGTTCAGGTTCAGATGTGGCCCATACATTAGGAGCAGCAATGATTAGGACTGTGTTTATGGTCCATTTGATGATCGGTTACAGAAATCAGTTCTCTGTTAGGTATGAGATGCCTAGTAGACTTTATTAGTTTGTATTTGTGTATCTGTGAGTCCTGATAAATCAAGAATGTTATGTACACCGAGAAAAACAGCCCCACAGGAATTGAAATCTTAGAAGTTGACTTTTACCTGAGACAGGTTGTAGATCTGAACTCATGTGCCTTGACCTCCCATTGCACACTGATGAAGTGTTTCCCCACTTTAGAACAGATTAATGGACTTTACTAGTCTGTCTCACAATGGGGATCTCTGTTCTGGCTGACTTGTAGAGGGAAATAAGCAGGTCCATTAAAGACAGTCCCCAAACTTGGAGAATTGTAAACACTAATTTCTAAGCCAGATGTGCCTGTGCCTGCATGTTGTCCTAGCTGCTAGGAGGGCCACAGTGCTTAAGGGCTGCCTGGGCTGCATAGTGAGACTGTCTCAGAAAAACAGCTCATCTTTTAAAGAAGCTACATTTAAAGGGGAAAATGTTCTTATAAAAATTGCCAGCTCAGAGACATCTTTTAAAAATCCAAACATCAGGCTAAGTGTGATGGTGCACATCTTTTATTGTGGCACTCAGGAGGTGTGCTGGTGGATCTCCGAGTTAGAGGCTAGTCTGGCCTACAGAATTAGTTCTAGGCCATCCAGGGTTACATAGTGAGACCCTGTCTCAAAAAGTAAAAACAAAACAAAACAAAACAAAAAAACCAATTTGCTAAACATTTTATGGGTTTTACTGGTGTTAAGTTTTACACAAATAATGTTATAAACAGCATGCTGTGTCTGTTCATAACTCAGGTCTTTAAGTCTAACCCCCATTGTGATTGTTTGTGGGAGAATCTTTGAGAGCTAATTTTCCTGAGGGTAGAGCCCTAACAAGTGGGGTGAATGCCCTTACCAGAGGCCAGCCCCCACCTGGTCCTTTCTGCCTTAAGAAGACACCACAAGAGACAGTAGCCTGAAGACTGGATGTTCACCAGAAGCCAGCGGCACCGGCAGCCTGATCTGGGAATTACAGCTCTCAGCAGTGAGGGAAGTACCTTTCTGTTGTTGATAAGCCACACACTTCATGGTATTTTGATATGACAGCTCACGCTAAGATATATATATATTACCCTTCCAGCATATTATTAAAGCTGAGGGTGTGGTCATGGGAACTGTTGTCGAATATTGGTTTAAGATGTATTACATTCATTTACGCTGTAGAATGTGTTTAATGATGCAATGATGTGTTACATTCTTTTATGTTGCATTTATTTAACTCTGTAAAGCTTGTGTTACTTTGCCTGCCTGAAACACCTGATTGGTCTAATAAAGAACAGAACGTCCAATAGCTAGGCAGGAGAGAGAAACAGGCAGGGCTGGCAGGCAGAGAGAATAAGTAGGAGGAGACATCTAGGGAAGAGGGTGAAGAGTGAAAAAAGGGGATGGAGAGGAGGACACCAGGGGCCAGCCGCCCAGTCAGACGCAGAGTAAGAAAGAAAGAAAGATATATAGACTCAAGAAAGGTAAAAAGCCCAGAGGCAAAACATAGTAAATAGATGTGGGACAAATTAAATTAGAAAAGCTGGTTGGAAACAAGCCAAGCTAAGGCCAGGCATTCTTAAGAATAAGTTGTAGTGGGTAGCTGTTAAAGCATCACCCCTGGAGAGAGAGCAGGTAACTGCTCTACCTGCCTATGACCTTGAAGTACATGACCCTGGGATGTGGCCTCACAGACCCTTAAGACCTGGGCTGCACATAGGCATCACTCTCTCCTTCATGCTTTTGGATGCTGAGATGGACCAGGCAGAGAACAGTGAGGACCACAGCTCAGCTTCCAGGACCCTGTGATAAATCTCCTGTGCTGTAGTGAGTTTTTATCTCCTAATAAATTCCTTGCCATTTAAGCAGACTCTGAATTTCTCACTTTATCTGGTGCCCAACGTGGTGTGTTTTCATTTAAAACTGGGTGGTGGGCCCCAAGAGTAAAAAACCAACCACAGGGAACACCTGAATTTGTAGCTTTGTTGGGCAGAGTACAGGCAGCCTGAGGCCCCAGAACGTGTGACATAGTACAGTTTTGTCTCAGTTGTTTCTGTTGCTGTGATAAAATACCTTGATAAAGCAATAGGAGGAAGCATTTATTTGGCCATGGTTCAGGTTGGTTGTCGGTCAGAAAACAGGGTGATATCAAAGAACAGAAGAATCAGGAAACACCTCCACTTAGCTTAAGTTTATTTTTGTAGCACTTAATACCTAATTCACAAATTGTGGGCATTCTTTCACGTTTGTGTCTCCTGTGGTCTTTAATGGTGAGATCTAATAAAACAACACACAGACAAGACACCGTGGAACAGTACGCAGCACATTTTATTTCCTTTTTAAAGTCCTGTGTATAAAACACAACTGTGTACAGCAACCCAAAGGGTTTATACAAACCCTAAGAGTCACAGAAAAATAATTTAAGGTTAGCTTTATTGAGTTATTTTAAACAAGACATATGAAATGTTGGTTCAGCATTAAGATTTTTCAGAAATTTCTTATAGTTTTAGAATGAGAAAAAATGAATATAAAATTTTTACTCTTTTGTGCAAAACAAAGTAAATATATTCATAATTATAAAATTAACGTTTTAGTACATAAATGCTGTTAAGTCTTTGGAGTCTGATAGGTCTAAATGTACCATGTTTTCAGTGTATATTTTAGAATCTTCACAGAGTTCTTTCTTAATAAGCCTCCTTTCCTGTCACTTGAGTGAGCCTTAAAACTCCAGTGTATTTCTCCAACTGTGGTTAATTTAAGTGATCACAGAGCAAATTAACATAATCCAGGGGCAGGAGTACTAAGGACAACTCATTGTTCCAATAATCTAAATTTATCCAGAAAAGGTCACCGTGGAGTTGAACAGAGGTACAATCCCCCACTGGAATAAACTGCACAGACCTGTGTTACTCAGCTTTTATTTCCTTGGAAAGACGATAAAGATGATAAAGCCCTTTTTTTCCGCATAAGCATAAACAGTGCTTTGATCTTTAGTTACAGAGGATGAAGCATCTTTTCAATTGCAATTTCCTTTAATTTTTAAACTTTCCAACGTGCTCACGGGCTATGATCAGCCTCTGAATTTGTGCAGTGCCTTCATAAATCTGAAAGGAAAACGTAACTTGGTTTAAACACCTGGACTCATTTGCCATCTCAAACACAGTAAGCTCTAGTGTAGCACCAAACTGAACTGTTATTTTATGAGAACACTTTAAGTCATAAAATTTTCGTTTACAAAATTGGGAGGTAGGCTTAAAACATCAAAGAAAATGACATCTGCATTTCAAAATGTTTGGGAAATCTAAGGTTTAGTGTTACCAGAGTATTTACGACCTAACTTTTCTAAGCTGTTTCAGCTATGTCCGTTAGACATTCTCTGCTCTTACCATTACACGTGATTTTTCCCCCACCGCTGCCTAA